CCCCAAAACCCCAAAACCCCAAAACCCCTTTTCTCTTAGAACAAATTGAGTTTATTTTATTAAATGGAGAGATCAATATCTTCAACAAGTCTTTCCTCCAGCTCATCCATTACTTTGTTAATATTTATTTTTCTGATTTCTTTCTCGTTGTTGAGGATAATGGTCCGCTTTTTAACAAGAGGTGATACCATATTATCAGGATTAGAGTTAGCTCGGCTATGGGATTATAGAAATCTTACAGAGTCTCTATGATGATACTTTGAATCCTAGATTCAATCTCTGGGCTATTTATATTCCCCAAGCAGTACAGAATGTCTCCTTGCTTGAGAATATAGTTATCAGATGGGTCAAGGATCAGGACTGAGAGGTTGTTAATAAGGAAATTATAATCTTCCTCATCTTCTTGGTCAAATATTTCTTTACTATCTTCGCGACTATTCGGGGCAAGTACACTGTTGTTTCTCTTATTTTTGTCTAAATCTAAAACAAATGGGTTACTTATATTCCTTATAGCCTTTGCTGACTTCTAAAATGTTGTCCAAAAAGTCCTGAATGGGCTTAGTCGATTGGGAATTGAACACTCCGATGCAAAGCAATGGAGTCGATTTGTTGTCCAGAAATTCCTCGTAAACAGACTGGTACTTTCTACCATCTAGAAGTTAGAGGCAAGTTCAGAGAAGTAGCTTACCAAGCTTTTCATTAATTTTTAGTGCTAAGATGTTTGATTCATCATGAACGTTGTAGAGAAGATCGTTCAGGAATTTGAGCTGGAAAGGGTTGCTTCGGAGCTTACTTCCGAGGTCAAGGAATAGCGAGGAATTAAAAACCCTTCCTGACATAAAACTTATAGTGTAAAGCTTGGTCATGTCAATGTAGTAGTTTGAGAAGATAGGAGTCTCTATCATTTTAATGCTGTTTTGATTCTGAAATTCAACTGTTGTCTTGACATATGGGTACCATTCTTGGATGTAGCTTGCAAGGAGAATGGCATCTACATCAAGTCCTTCATTTTCTCTTTTAATTTTTGATACTATGAGGACATGGTGAGCAGCAGAAATATTCATCTTATTTTAATCAATTCGTGTTTCTTGGATCGTCAACGTATTGATAAACATAATCAAACTTGTTGATGATGGTTTTGATTGGCTCAATGCTACTCTTTGTATCACAGATTATAATTGGTATGTCAGATTCTCTTCTTACAGAATCAACGAAATAGCCAAGTCCTTCAACATATCCAAGAATAATGATATGCTTGCTAATTTTCTGTCCAAGATCTTGGCCTGGCCACAGAATAGTATCTTTAATTCCATTTATATAGTTATGTTTATCAACAATATAGTCCTTAATAAGGTCAAGGATATTATTCTTGGTATTCTCAGAGGAAGTCTCACTTGGCTCATTTTCTATAAAATTTAGGAATGAATCATTACTGCTTACCATCAAATAAATGCTCCTCTCTTCTATTACTCACTGAATCTTCGACAAAAATATTAGCGGTACGCTTCGAAGCAGTTGTCTTAGTCCTTGGAAGATCCTTTCTCCTTCTGTGAGTATTTCGAGTCTGGGCTTGGATTCTTGAGAATGCGACTAGAGGTGATAGTTAAGCTTACCAGACTCTTCATTTTCAAAAACCTTGCTATCCATGTTATGGATCTTATTCTTCTTCCCGTCTTGTCCGTTCTTAAGGACTTCTCTGAGTAATCTTTCAGCATCATTTTTCTTTTCAATCCATGAAGAAATCTTTATGTTATTGCAAATGTAAATTCCTTTGTGAGAGTGCAATATTTCTGCACCGAATGGAGCGTATAGATTCTTTGGATCGTCGTTGTCGATCGTTTGGTTATTTTCATCAACATCATACTCGATAAGGCCAATAAGTCTCAGCTTTGTCCCTGTCTGTACAAACATGGGGTGTTTCTCGAAAACATTGATCTTCTTTACTGCAGCCTCGAACGTTAAACCCTCACACATAAAAGGGAGTTCGAGAATATACAAATTATACTCAAGTGATCTGTTGTATAACTTGCATAACCTGTTTGGGATTTTCAGTTCAGGCTCTGCTGAAGAGAGCAGTTTATCATTTTCACTATGTATTTGATGAGTCTTATTGAAAAAAATTATTAAGCAGTATATCTGTTTAAATTTTCTTTGAAAATCAGGAGAAATCCTTCATTTGAAATATCTAGTCAACTATTCTTTATGGATCAAAGTTTGCAGAGAAATGAATTAAATTACTCTAATACAATTAATAGTAAATTACTAATAATCTGGCATGATTGTAATTATTCCGAAACCTAAGTTGCCCTAGAGAAAATAACTAAGTCTTAATCTATGATACCTCTTACTTCAATCAGGCCGTATCAATAACTAATGAATTACCCACAAAAAATGTGAATTCTTATAAATCAATGTAAATCTCAAAAATATTTAAATCCTAATTTCAAATTTTTTCAAAACTTCACTGTATAAAATTTCAAGGTGATTTAGAAGGAATATTTTTGCTGTTGTGATTCATCAAAACAGCTTAATTAAGCCCAGCCATAATTTTCAAGGTTAGAGAGATCTGAACAAGTTAAGTACGGCATTGGATTCCAGATTTAAGTAAATAAGAAACCTTGTTTAAATATCTTGTTTATTGGTAAATGAGAGCAGAATCTGTTTATTCAAGAATATGGAGATAACTTACAGAATTTCAGAAATGTGAATTGGAGAATTTGTAAGGAAACAGGTGACAAAGGGAAGCAGGCCAGGGGAGAACATGCATTGTGCAAGAAGGTTGAATTTGAACTTTCTATAACATATTGCACTGATGAATTCAGCCTCCATGATTCGTTTAGGAATCGAGGGGATTAATTTTTGGACTGTCTCGCTACGAGCGGAGGGAAGGTTTCCATCCTCTTCTTCACCTTCAATTTCGCCTTGATAGTTGATGATACTATAGAATTAAACCTTGTATTACGATTCGCTTGCTTCAGTCTCGTTCTTATCAATGAAATTTTCAATATACTTATCATCATACAGTGAAAGCTGGATATATATTGGGCAATTGACTCCGTTATTTCTTAAATAAGTTTTTAAAAACAGCCCTTTATTTATCCTGATCTTCACCATTAATCGAGTATGGGTCGCTGATAATAAAAACACTGGCTGCACTCTTGGCTCATGATTTAATAAACGTTTTACATGTTATTCCATTCCTGACAGATAAGAAGTAGACTCTGCCTTGAAAGTGCTCAAAGTCAAGAAGTTGGTCCATTTTTGAGGTCACCGAAACATCATCAATAATAAGGATCTTTGTTCTTTCACTCTTGGTGCTGCCAAGGCAGTCCAGTAAGAAAGGAGGTATCACTGAAAATGACTTATTACCAAAAAGAATTATGTGGGATTTTAGATTATATTTTATGTCATACTTATCAGATTCCTTGATAATAGCGATAATTTTGGATATTTGGTCACCGAATATGAGGAAAATTATTATCAACATAATTGAGATGATGACCCGAGATTGAGACCTTGTTGGGTAGATATCTCCGTACCCAATCGTCGTAGCAGTGATAACTATATAGTAGAAAGAATCTATGAATTTGAGGCTCTCAGACATGGAATTATCTATCGATTCTCCAACAAATGTGATTATCCCAGATGAGACAAACAAAGTAGCGAATAAGGATATTATGAGCATGATCATCTGCTTCTTGAGCCTAGAGAATGCCTCCACTTGGGTATCAAGTTCCATATAATCTTGTTTCTTTTTAAGTTGAAGTTTCTTTAAGGTTTTCCTGAATTTAACAATTCTGATAATCTTAAAAACTCTTAAGATTCTTAAGAAAGAGACACTATTACTACGACTGGAAGCCAGGAATAAGGAAATGAATTCTGGCATAATTGTCCAGAAGTCTATCCAAGTGTCTATAGAGATAAAGAACCTAATTTTAGGATGTGGATAGTAATAAAAGTTTATACACATTTCTATTGCAAAGAATCATGCTATTGCAAGTTCCAACTGGTTAATGTAATCTTCGTTGACGTAATCATCTAAATTTTAGAAGTTGGAGTACTGATAATATAGAGCAAACAAGCTGAAACGTTCATTCAGCATTGGAGAATGTTCAAGGCCATTAGGATACCAATCCACAGCTTTTCTTTGTTCTCATTTTTCTTGATTTGCTGATTATTTTGTAGCAGTGATTTTCTGGATGTATTCTCTTTGATTGTTCTGCTTGGTCTTGTCTAGCTCTCCGTCATCTTCAGTTGTCTGCTCATTTCTATTCTTTTTTAAACAAAATCATACAATCTCTTTAAATGCTTTGTTGAGGGGTTAAACCCTGAAAACTTGGTGTATCCTTTGTTTGAAATATTCATAATCCTTTTATTCAGTGGAGAAAAGTCATCGTCCTTTAAGGCAGAAGTAAAAGACTTATTTTGGCCTAGAAGAATGAAGTGTGGGCATTCCTATATAGCCAGAGGTTCTATGACGAATAGAACTCTTCCCTTCCATCTCTTCAATTCTCTATGTCGAATTCCTTTCATATCTTCTAACAATTTGCTGCTCTCTGGGCAGATAAGATATGATATCTTCTGAAAATTTTGACCCTATGTTCTGAGATAAATATCTTTCAAAATTTAGTTTAAAATCTGAAGAAATTTTACTTCAGGTATTTAAAAATTTTATGATTATTTAAAGCGTACCTTTGCTTTCAAGTTGCTGATTTCGCACATCCACTATTACAGGGTTAGGAGATATCTAAATTACATGCAGAAATATAGTGAAACAATATGAGCAAGGCATTACCGAAAGCTTGTGTAATTTTCTTCAAATTCATATCTCCACTACTACTTTCACTATAAGTGTCGTTTTCATCAAGGTGGAGGATATTCCCGAACTTAGACCTTTCAGTTGTTTTAACTTCTCCTATATATGTACACCTTTTAGTCTTGGTTTCTGAGGAGGATTTTTAACATTTTGAATATAGGAATTGAAGGTCCAAGAGATTTAAAAATATTTTGAAACTGGAAGACCCAATTTAACATTTTGTTGAGTGGAACTTGGCATTTGAAGTAAAGGATTTTTAGAGCTTAAACCACTTTAAAGGCTATAATCATGGTATATTTTGCGAATTAGTAATACATTTTTGTTGCTTTTTGATAATTTATTGAATGGTTAATCACCAATTAGGCTTACCAAATTTCATATTTGATAAAATAATAATAATATGAGTGCACGGGGTTTTGGGGTTTTGGGGTTTTGGGG